GACCATGAGGTCAGAAACCAAAATTATTGTTTTATCTGCTCTATCAAAATTGTAAGATTATTCGGAGTGGTCATCAAGATATTCAAAGTATTACCAGAGAGTTTACAGTAATACTGTAAACCCTCTCTGGTATTACGTTCGAAAAGGTTTGAGACAATAATGTGAAACGAAAATTTTTATCGTCATATTTCTCAAAACTAGTTACTGTAATTCTGAGTTAAGAGTGCGGTCCAAAATTCGTGGCGCAACTTATCCTGAAATACCTCATTCTTAACGGGGGAATCAATGTCACCTGCAAAACTTGTTAAAGAAATTAATTTTATAGTGAACACTTTTTTGCACTAAGGGTTCTCAAAACGTGCATCCAATAAGCGTAATGTCGTAATTAGAGATAGAGATAAAAATGACGAACTTGCTTTTAAAAGCGATATTCCAGCTGTAAACCGTTAAAAATCAGTAGAAACCATCCACTTGGATTTTTTTTTATTGGTATTCAATTTAATTTATTTTTAAAAGTTTCTAGAATACAGTTAACATGTGTTTACAAAAATATTGATCTGTTAAGACAAATTGATACAAGTCATTGTGCAAAAGCTGGAGAGTCTATGTTCGGTAGTTTAGTAGAAGATATTTGGTAATAAATTGCGCCAAGAATTTTTGACCGCATTATAGCATACTGTCTATGCAGACGGCTCTGGTAAAAGCGAAGGCAGGGCCAGAACCACGCGGAGAGTGAACGTCGTTGTTGGGGGTCGAAGTCTGGAATTTTTCACAACCGTAGATCGGTATGAGGCATGAGGTCTCGGCCTAGATTCTAGATCTCTGTTTTCAACGATAACAAGGCATGCTACGTAATATAACAACATGTATCTGGGTAGCTCAAGGTGGCAGATCTGTGCCGAGGAATGCCCAACTGTTATTCTTTTATTCCAGACAGCCTCGGGTTTCAAGAAAAAAAATCACAAGACAAAGCTTAATGTAATGGATTAAATGCTTTAAAAGATAATAGAATGTTATTTTACGTAAATCACGCTGAAATACGACACATATACTTTATGTAATTTACTGATCAGCAACAGAGGAACATAAGCACATGTAAAGTGTAAAGACCTCCTTGAAACAATAATAAATAGAGTTCAGGTTTGGGATAATATGATTTTTCAACTTCTCTGTCACTTCAAGAGTAAAAGTCTTTTCCATTATAAGCTTGTACAGACGCCGTTTCTTCCTTTAAGGTACAAATTATAGACTCGGCCTATAATATTAGGGGACTTTAATTTACATTTTGAAAATACCCTAGACATTTATGTAAAAGCTATCAAATCTATTCTAGAGACTCGTG